CCGAGAACTTGAATAAATATTTTTAAATAACTTATTAGCTTATATCTTGGAATAAACTAAAAATAAGATATAAGTGTTTTTAATAAATACATCTTCATTAATATACAATGACAGATATAAACATATGTACTAGTTATTTATATATATTCATATAAAAATATACGAATAAATAAAACATTTTTGTATATAAGGCATAATACTGAAACAATTGAATGGATTTTAACGATTCTTACGCTGTTAAGGACAAAAACCGTTTTTGTTTAACTTTTAAGGAACTTATGCCAAAAAAATTACAAAAATAATACCCAGTTAAATTTGATCGTTTTTTATTACTTTACTAGCTTTCGCTCGCGACTATTCACGCGTAGAATTTAAAAAAAAGTAAATATCCTATCTGTTCTTCCAGACTATCCTCTACATCTATGCCAAATTTAATGGAGATTCGTTCAGTCGTTTATGCCACAACCTTTAACGAACATCCATCCATCCATCTAAACTTTCGCATTTATAATACAAGATGAACTTTGATATTTTCCTAGAACAAAAATTGTTTGTTTAAAATCTGTATAACTGCTATAAAAGCAATAAGTATCCCTTGAACACCATTATAAATTATTAATATTATTGTATCACTTAAATAGTATAGAAATATTTGACAAAACAGCGGGCAGATGTTGAGACGTACAGCCGCGGGGTCGGGGGCATTATGCGTTGCGTCGTCGCCCCTTTGTGAAAGCAAAACGCAGCCAAAACGCCAGAGGTCTGGGTCAAACGTACATCATAAATCTTTACACCTGCTTGACTCACACACTAATACCAGTTTCACATGAAGACAGAACAGTGAGAGCAGTACTGCTATGCTGTTTGAACTCACACTGTCGAAACAAACAACTGTAGTACCGCTATGGCTCTGCTCTACTGTGCTGCTCGTGTAAAACATTATGCGTGACTTGAACTTGTTACTCTTGACATTCTACAAACTCATGATTTAACTAATTTGTTAGTAACTTATGGATACATTGTTAATTATCAACCATGTTGCAATGTAATTACAATGTAGTTAACATTTCAATGGTTACGAGATGGATTGATTTTTAATGTTAGAGGTAGTTACGGGTTCTGTTCTTAGCTATCTTGGGTAATTAGGTATACGAAATCTGCAATATTAGTTAGCAATGTCATGGAACTTTCATAGAAATCGCTATATTTCTAACACCATGACCTATAAATACAAAATATTCAGACGAATACGATCATCACAAATTACAGATCTAAGACTGATAATTTTATTTATAAATACTTAAACTTCAGTGGAATACAGGGAATGCCACGTAATTTATTCATTCAAAGGTCGTAAAACTTCAAAATAGATGAAAATTGTCAATTAACATATGAAACATGGCATAAGATTGAAAATTATGTCGTTTATTCACGTTTGAATGTTGGCTTGAAGCCATATTGTTAGTTTTGCAACATATACCACTGTTTGCTTCTTTTGATTTAAAAAAAAAACTCTTATAACTTACGATTACATGCCTGCGCGCCAATTAGCCTTATCATAATTAAATATCTTGTTTTAATTGTGTTCAATCGCTGTACAAGGTCACTTGAATAATAATAAACCGCTAATTAATAAATCAAAGCGGTAAAAACAACTTGTTTAATTAAAACTCCCAAAGAAACAGATACAAATAGAGTTTTTTGACGTCATTGCGTACTAAAAGTTAAGCAATCATAAAAAGCGTAGAATAAAGATTTATGTGCCTTAAAATATTCGTCTCTTTTCATACCAACAAACCTCATCCTTCTGAGATTAACATTAACGTTTGTAGTATATTTCAGTTTACCAATCAATTTATATGATTTGGCAAAGACGAGTGCTGTGTACTAGCACGTCGAGCGACTTGGCAACGCATTGTACGCACATCACAATGGCCGTTCGTCTCGCGCTGATTTTACAACTGGCTGAAGCGCTGCTGACCTGTATTTATGCTAAACGAAACATGGCATTCGAGTTCCACACTGTACCAGGAATTCTTCTATTTTAAGAACGTTTATAGGTGACGAGACGAACGTAACGAGGCGAAAAATTAAAACTAAACTAAAGCGGATATTTCAATGTGCGTTTTAAACATTTTAAATGTTTCTTTTAAATATTCACATATATTCCATAAAATTTAAATTCAAAGCTTTTAGAAATATGTGTAACATTTCTTTTTTAATTTCAGATACGTGTTCTGTTGATTATTAAACGTTAAAAACAAAGTGCGCTACCGTTTTTACGTAAAATACATGAACTCCTACCTTTCCTACATGTATAAATTTATGCATTGCTTTCTATAGATACTTGAGATGAAATATGAAATGGATCATTACGACAGCAGCATAAAATGAAATAATCCAGCCGTTTGCTTGCAATAGAGTCATCGTTAACAACAAACACGATCATAAAATCGCCTTAGAACCTACGCAGCACAGTTTCCCCATAGAGTCCCATTAGCTTACAGTCAAAGTATCGGCAAAGGGTGTACAATGATTCAAATTAACAAGTCGACAATCGTGCAAATGGCGTGTGGGTGATGTCCCAGGCAAGTCTCGCACTGGTGCAGGACGTCTGGTGCGTCATTAAGGAGGTATTCAGGGAGTACCGACCACCGACAATATTCTTCATTTGCGTACCGGGCGCTCGTCATTTGGCGCATTGTGATGGACGGGCTGGAGGCCGCCCTTACTGCAGCTATGCACCACCGCCTTAATTGTACCCTTGTTCGCTGCTCTAGACTCTAGGCGTTACAATTTACACTTCATTTGCGTATGTTCCCCAGTGCTTTGGACTTGAGCGTCTTAATTTTAATCTCTATATTTCACACACGTTCATCTGACTGGTTGTATAATCAAATAAATGTATATGTAATGTGCTTGCAACCTTATTAACAAGGACTTTTAAGATACCGTGACGGCAACTAGTAGGTACTGTGTTAGTTATTGAACCACCTGGCCAAAAAGTTGAATAGAATTTTAAATTTAAGACGGAGCATGTCAATTCTGTGTAAAGCTTGAAACCATTAACAAATTTTAACAACCCGGTCCTTGAAAGCTCAGGTACATGCGAAATGTTTGTTCGACGTTTTATACGAAAAAAAAAACAACGCCACAAGGACGCTGTTGTTCGAAGAGGTCGCCCGAACAAATAGCGCACTACAATTTATAAAATAAAAATTAAATTCCACTTCTTTAATATATAGTCTACATACCCAATTAAATGGTATGTTATTAATAATACTGGCATTCACCTGTCATTTTAATCTAATCTAAATCTAACACATCATCCAAAAAACACTCGTATTCCTTTCGTATATGATTGAGATTCGTACGTGTTTGTAATACAGACTAATGTAAACGGAGAATACCGGACAGGTTGAATAACGGTGCATTTGTTTTCGTAATAAAAGCCTCAATATCTTTGGCTTGTGAGTCACCGATTACTACATTATATTCATTTGGACGTAATACCCGTGATAAATGATACGCATTAAATTCTAACAAAGATTAATAACGAACACAAAGTCCACTTCGGTAAGTCGTAACAGATATTAATTCCATATGAGAACTTGTAATTATGAAAACATTTAAATTAAATAAATTACCGACAAAATAACAAGCAGATACAAAATTAATTAATAAGTGTAGTGACGTCAAAAACAATATTTAAAAACGTACATTACTCTTTGTCTCTGAATACAATTGATATAGCAAGGATGTTTTTGGAGTGTAAACCTACCGTTAGATTTTACCTGACAAGTCTGCAGAAGGTAGGAACAACATATTGACTTATAATTAATTTAATAATTTCTTACATTATTGAATTAATCCCAACCTGTGGGGACCTCTTTCTTGTAAGCCGACACCTCTACGAGGTTATACCTGCGCCTTTCTGGCCAGTCCTTTTCCAATTTAATTTGTTTTTTTTTTGCACTTTTAAATAGGTATTTTAAGAATCACTGGGTAAGCAAATTAAATTAAAAATACAACAAAAACTGCAATACATTATTTGTTTTTCAATTTTGATATGGATTATAAGCATTGTTTTTTATTATAAAGGTAAATGATTGTTAATTTCTTAGTTTACGTGTAACCGTTAAGTTTATTATAATAAAATTGAATATAATTATCATATTTTGAATATAAAATGTTTTTGCATTTACAAATAAGCGGTAAACATTAATTTACAATTAAAATACAATAAACGACACAGACCACTTAAAAATTTAATTATGGTGATGCTAACTTTAACGGTAGTATACATATTGTCAACTTAACCCAAATATATACATACTACGATTGTGTATGTAGGTACAGGCACTATGGGACTGTGACTATGTCTGGGACTATGGATAGTAGCCCAATCAGCAATGTCAATTAGTTATTACATTATGTCAATGAAAACTCAGTTTACAGTTGGACGGTTAACATAAAAAATATAGCTACGTAAGGAAGCACGCTGGCTGCTGGTGCTGCTAGAATTGGGTCTTAGTGAATGTCTTGCTCAGGCATTTACTTTAATATCCTTATTAGCCAGTTTGCCGACATTACATCGTCAAAATAACTCACTACCACTTTATTTTACTTCAGTATGCAAATGCACTCCAATTAGCGGAGCTTACATTTCTTGGTAGGTATAACTCATTATTTCAACCGGGATTTTTTTGCGACCGTACCGCAAACGCAGTAATTAACCATGAACGGGACGGATCCTTTAGCGTCCGCTTATTAACTTCTAATCTTTGTTAGAGACCGTAGATCTTAATGAATTCTGTTAAAGTATTAAGTATTAGGTTAAGGCTGCGGCCCTCACTAAAATTTTAAAACTTAACGTTCATCGTCGTAATGACGACTCGGCGAGTATACAAGGGGGAGGCGAATTAATCAAATAATACGGCGCGGCGGTGAGATGTAGTGCGGGGCGCCCCCCGCACGCCGGCACCCTCCCCCCGCGCCGACCGCGTGGCCGCCTCAGTCGCGACCGAAACGCCGTAAGGGGAAGTGTCGTCAGTCCCCGTAAACCTAACTACTTTTTTCGCAGTTCCAAACAGTTTTGTTTTAAAAGTTTCAAAGGAAGTTTTGTGCATGAGTCTTTCGTCCTAATAGACTCTTGAAGGATACGTGACTGGTCTTCGCTGTGTAGTTTATTCAGTTTACACGTTTAATTGTGTTTATTTTTTGTTATTGTTAAGTTTTTTGTTTGGTGCATCTCGCCGGTCCGGAGACCGGCGGTCCCACGGAGGCACCAAGCCTGGACGCACAATTAAAGGACCACAAAGGACAAAGCCTTTAGGTAACTATTTGTGTAAATCTTTCAAATTTCAAATTAAATAATTTGTCTTTTATGTCAAGGATATCTTATAGAATAGTACTTTGCCCCAAAAAATGTCACCATTCACTATAAATTCCTTAATGTATTGATGAAATTCCATTTAATTAAGGTATAAAAGAAGCTCGCAAGAACGAACAAAGTTGTGTTTGTTTTCAAAGGCAAGGATTGTGATATAAAATGAATACTAAAAACTGATTTTACGTAAAAACAAAACGATGAAAAAAAATTTACGAAATATTACCTGTACTCTGACGTCGACATTGTAAATATTCGTTTTAACATAACCACAATGATTATAACTTCAAAAAACCGACGTTTACTATATCTGGAAACACGTGTCTTTTTACTTGTATTCGGGTAAATTTTTATATGAGAAAATGCGTTACGAACATTCAGGGTATTTTGTAAAATAAACAAAAATACTGTTATAAAAGATTATACATCAAATCAGTATGAATTTATAACCGAGACCAAAGTAAAGCTTTGTGTAAGTGAATGTATGTAAACAGCTAATACAAAAGACTGTTTGTCTAATAATAATTTTAGCATAACTTCGTGCTAGCCTGCGTAACTTTCTCTAATATTATGCGGGAGACCATTGGCCGAGATTAAATTAATTTCGAAAATATGGCTAAGCAATATTATGTGGACCACTTCATTTCATCGCCGGTTTAATTAAAAACGAGTGGCCGCACCCCTCCCTCCTTTTCGGGTTGAAGTGAGTGCCCCCTCCCCCGCCCGCGCGGGTGTCTCGCCCCGCTTATATTTAGATAATTGTACAATCATCTAAATTAATGAGTCTCTCATCCGGTGCTAGATTCTATTGTTTTTTATCTGTGTCACCCGAGGAGGTCACACGGTGACGATTTCATTTTAAACATGGTTTTCTTTTAAAAACAAACTTTCGGGCGTTTTTCAAATTTCGAAATTTTTGACGGGCGCTACGTTGCAGATTTTTATGAACGTCCGTTATTGGAGAGGTGTTCATAACTCGCACTGTTGACTACAGTGATAGACCTAAATGCAATTAAAAGTTTTACTACGTGCGTGAACGAGGCCCGCGCCAGCACCCGCGCGAATATCCACCTTATGTTGGCGATAAGTTCAAACTTTTAAAGAGTCAATTAATAACTTATTCTATCAGTGTTTACTTATAGCTAAACATTTCAAACTTTCAAATTAGTACACTTGTTTATATTCAATTACTTGTAGTGCAATGGCACTTGAATTTGGATTAATAATTTATTAGATGTTTGTATCATGTATTGGTTTAGACAAATTAAATACATGGTGCGGTGCGGTGTAAGGACGGCGAATGGAGTGGGCCCGTCTCCCCGGAAGGCCCCGGGCGATCCGTCTAATGAACCCGCACCCTCCCCGCAGCCTGATTTATTAACGAATTAAATGCATTCTGCTGCACCCCATACTGACCGATACACGAACATGTTACATTTATACACTTAGTGATAATTATTTTATTACAACTTCTAATGTATTAAAAATGCCTAGTTCGTTTTAAACCAAACAATAAATATGCTCAGTTCTAACTGAACAATTGAAGTGCTATATGTCGTTACATGTAATTTTTAACGGAACAATTATATTAAATCTAAAACAAATACTGCTGCTATAGTGGCACTAATTCTGTTTTACAATGTAGTAAAACAATAGTAAACAACTTAGTACTAAGAATATTGAATTGATTCAATTTTTAGAGTAGTTCATAGCTCCTATGGCCCCCGGGTCACGAGAGCGACCACCAAATATTAATGAATTGATGTCATAACTATGACATGTAAAATACTTTATGAATTACTGAAGTATCTGGGCATAAAAGATTAATGGACAAAAAATACAAGTAACTAAAGGCTTTCCTTTTTATGTAAAAACAAAATTTCGTAGAAGATATGTCCTATGTTTCATAACCATACCTTCTTCCTGTTATGAACATTGTGAATACTATATACAAGTCTTAATAAATCTCATTATTGCAACAAGTAAACAGATAACACGAAGATCATTAAAATATGCAGACTAATTTAAATTAAACTTAATTAAAAATTAACAAGGAAACATTTTACACCGTTAATCTAAATGCATCTCGTTGACCCAAGGAAACTTACGCAATGCACCGGGAATTAAAAAAATTAAACAAAGATATAACCAGTCTCATAAGTTAAGAACTCGCAGAGTAACCCCTCTCTCGCACTCGGTTCCTTATATTTAAATTGCAACAAAACAACTCGCTTGCTATGCTAATGAAGCTTGCTTAGAACCACTTGGCGCTCGCTGCGGAGGTTTCGAAAGTTGAGTAATCTCGAATTAGATTGCTTAGTAATAACAATAATATGCACTCCACTCCAAATGCCGTTCACCACAAACGCCTTTAATCGTGTCTAGAAACAGTTCAATCGTTCATGTTTCCGAATTTTTGAACTGTATTGAAGAAACAAATGCAGGTTCTATAACTAAAATAAAAGTAACCTTTCCGTCGGCTAACACTGCACTAATCTAAGATGCCTGGGATAAATCAATCACAAACAGTTAGCTTAATAAAGTTCCATATATTTGCTAGAACCTAAAATTATAATATACAGGTATTTTTAACAAAAGTGTTAAGAAATTTTGATAAGACCCGCGTACTAAGGCAAAATATCGATCACTAGATCATTCATTCATTTTATAAATTGTGTTGCGTATTTGTCGGCGTCACTTTCAATAATATATTAAAACCTCTTTGTTCGTTAGTAGAAGCTGCTCTAAAATGCAGAGTAATTTCGACAGGTGCGAGTTCCCACAGTTGCCTTTTATATCATCTATTTATTTAAAAGATTTGTATCAACAATACCTATTGATATTATATTTAATAAGCAAATTTTAATGACGTAATGACTTTGTTATTTTTTGTGATAATTAAGGGTTTTATTGTCATTTTGTTTAAATCATACTAATATTATGAATACGAAAGTTTAGATAGATGGATGGATGGATGTTTGTTAGAGTTTGTAGCCTAAACGGCGGAACGGATTTCAATGAAATTTGGTATGGTTGAAGAGCATAGGCTACTTACTTTTTTTAATTTCACGCGAACTTAGTTGCGGGCGAAAGCTAGTTTTAAATGTCTTAAAGACCCATAGGTTACTTAATATTTTCGGCCTTTTTCGGTCATAAGAAACATATTTAACTTTAGACAAAGTTAAACAGAAATATTCTCTCATATCAATTTTAGGTTATATGAAATTTATGTTTGAAAAGTTCCAAACTGTGTTCAAAATAACAAAAAGGATGAATTTATTTGGTATCACTAACACATTATCAAGTTTTATCGAAAGCTAAAAACTATGAGGAAAGTATCAAGGATTCCAATGTTTCAGCCATCACACATTGTATGTGTTTAAGTGGAGTTTGGGGTGGCATGTTTATAACGCGTGTTTAATAATTTAGCGCCGCCGCTGCGAGGTCCCTCGCCGGCCCGTCTGCTAAATAATGGATGCAACAATAATATGGCTACCGACTCTAAGTATATTAAAATAACCCAACTTTGAAAACGAATTGATAACAACGAAACACTTACACTTTACATAACATTTTATTACTTTCTAAAATCAGGATAAGGAGATTTCTGACAAATATCTTCTAAGATTTAAAATTGGGTTACATACTTATGCAGTCCTTTATTATAATTCTCGATATTACCAGAAATCAAATTAGTATCAAGATTTTTTTATCTATAGACTAATCTAAATCACACAGAGTATAAAGTTCTAAATGGAATTTTCATTGAGTGAGGCTGTGGTACACCTGCTTTGATATGGCTTGCCCTCTCGCCGGCCGTAAGTCCACGTCGACTAAACCGGTTACAATTACAGGTTATGACCACTACAGAGTTAGCTACATATCCGTTTGGCGGAAACGAATCTCTCGACCTCTGCATATCACTTATTGTTCATTAAATTTTTATACAAACTTTAACCTTGTATGATTCCTTGCAATGTAAATTATATGTGAGACATTCAAAATTTTTTAAACATTGTAAAGTGATATATTACTTTAAACTGTCATGGGTTTTACAATTATAATGTTCGAATCGGGAGCTAAAACAGCCCAATCGTGGTAAGAAACCTGTATCTTGCGAACGTTATAATTGTAAAGAGCCTTAAATTGTACACTACTTGATATTATTTTATTTATTATATTTAAACAAATATAGTAGCTAAAACATCAATCATCTGTACTAAGTGTTCATTAATATATTCTCCTTAGTGATGTGTTGTTTATCTTACGCCACACGAATACTTCAGCTTTTATAATAGCTTTCCAGGAAGTTATAAATATCATCTTGACATCGATAGACTTCGCGCTGTTACGTTCATTAGAATGAGCTCCATCGAAAAGTAAATTTAGTTTCCTTTTTTTACGTCTGAATCTATTCCTGGTAATTATCGTGACAGTTCTCTAATTAACGCTATTACAAAGTATATGATCGCGTGTTAAAAAGTTGAATTTTAATATTAATATACTAAGTATTTGCGTCATTACATTCAATTTGAAACCTGTTACTAAGCGGAAAAAGTGCGCTGTATCTTGCTCATTTGGCTATTCTTTTATTAAAGTATTATTGAGACTAATATTTTCATTAAAAATTGTTATTTTTCATATTACGTTAGTGGTAAATATTGTAATCTTCTATTGACAAATAACTAGATTATATTATGCAATTTCAGAGTTCATTCACGCAAATACACAAAACAAGATACTAGATAAAGCAAAAGTCATCAACTCTCAACGGTTTCTTAAATGAAGATAATTTTTAAGAATAATTTAAAATGGCAACGAACTCACCATAAACAATTTATTACCTTACATAACGACCACTTATAATTTGACGTTTTACAGTCCATAAACGTTACAAACAATGATAATAAAGATGATGTGCGCAGACGCACGCTTCGACGACGTTT